GGCTGCTCTGGGGAGGCTGCTGTGGAGGGGCTGCTGAATTGGGGGGAGGCTGTTGGGCGGGGGGGCTGCTGAGGCTCTGATGGTAGACCTGCATTGTTTTTGTTTACACGGAGAAGCTTATCGTTTAATGAGGAATGCAGAGGAAAAAAACAACAACCTTATATGCTTATATGCTTTAACCGTTTCTTTCAGAATATATGAAGAAGGGAAGAAAAGTATTCCTGAACACCCGCATCTCTTTGAGGTAAATATGTGAAAGAATGGCGAAATAACCTGATGTTTAAAAGGCAACAGCTGAGATATGTGTGGGGAGATCAGGTAAAAGGCAAAGTTTACCTCAGCCATGGCCCCTCAGAGCCACCTCTACTGCTGCCCTGCCCCCTCTGCTCATTCCCTGCCTGATTTTTGGCACCTGTCAACAATTAACTTGTGTAAAATAATCGTAAAGGTCCAGCACAGGTGAGAGTATTACGGGGTGGTGGTAGCGGGGGGCGCAGGTGGTGCTGTGGGAGGGGAGGGAAGAGCTGCCACAGCAGCTTGTGGGGCTGCCTTCTGTGTTCTCATGCTTCCACCTTGTGGCTCCTGGTTGTAGGTTTTTTTATCTAAGTGCTGTGATGGGAAATGGGATATCTGTATGAAAATAGCAATTTTCGTAGCAGTAGGAATGGCTGGAAATTTTCTAATGCTATGTAGTTGTACTAATCCTGGAATTTATATAAGTTTGATAGTAGTTTGGAAATAAAATCAGGTGATTATTTGAATATACAGTGATGTGAAAAACAGACTAGATGTGAAGAATTAAGCAGTACTTCCCTGTGTATATGCAAAAGCCTAAGTAAACATTGATATTCCCTCATTCTCAAGAGCAAGCTTGAGTTACTTAATGTCTCCAACCAGTGTTTAGAGCTCTCATGAGAAATTCAGAGAAGTGATCAGTTGATTTTTAATGTTACTTTGAGGATTTTTCATCCCAGGGGTACCTAGTGACTACAGCTGCTACTTCAGCTATACTTCAGCTGCTACTACAGCCATATCTCAGATTATCTGAAGTTTTGTTCATCAAACCAAACTTCAGAATAAATGTGTTAGAAATTAAATTTTCTATGTAGGTTAATTGAAAGTTGTTGTGTTTTCATAGTTGATTTGGTTCAACCTACGGCATGCACCGCGTTCTTCTGAAATAAGAAAGTCTTAGATTCATAGGGTTGGAAAACAGTTTGCAGAATTAGTTAATTTTGCAATTTCTAATATAAAAAAATTGCTGCAATGCGTATTTTATATGTGGTGTATTAAAAAGTTTTAATCTTTTATTTTTTCTTTCAGACTGATGTAGAGATCTGTTTGATTGATGGCAGTTGCAAAAGTCCCATTGAAAGATTTTGGAATGGAAGCAATAGGATGTATATTTTGCAGAAAGCAGTAAGTGCGTATGTCAATTGTTTATTTTTAAAGTGTAATCTGCAGTTTTGAATTCCCATCAAATATTTTCACATACCTTGTATTTTTTGACTTACCCATGCGTTTCTCTTAAAGAGACAGAATGAAGAAAATGGCTCAATGGAAGAATCAGAAATAGATGATGCTATTTGTGCCTCTGAGCTTTTACCAAAGGAGAGTTCTGGACCAGTGGCACTCTCTTACAGGAGAGCAAAGTAAGTACCAAAGGTTTTCATCCTGCACAATGGCCTTGCCTGGCTAAAAGTATTCATAGCAAAGTAGCTAAAGTCAAGGTACTGGAAAAGCACTTGTGAGCTGTCCCGTGAGGTTAATGGGACTGGCTGGGTGCAGGTGAGCAAAGAAAGCTTCTTAAGACTTCAGTGTTTGTTTTTGTAAGGCTTCTGTTAAAATAAACAAATAAGTCAGTATCTGCTTGGGGTCTTTGGTGTGGTACCAAGGCACAGTACCAAAACATGGTGACTGATTTGCTTACTTATCTAAGTACTAACTTATCCTTTTAAGGAATCTTTAGTCTAAATTAAAATATTGTATTAAATATATTCTCAGTTACGAAATCTTACTTCTTCTCTTGTGACTTCATTGTTCTACCTGTAAAAAGAGGATTGTAATACTGTATTCTTTTTGTAAAATGATTCGATGTCTGCTCATGGGGAATGGTAGGTAGGAGATGGGTTTTATGTAAAGTAGATTTAGCTGTGCTTGCTGGCAACTTACTTTTTAACCTGTTCATGTTTCTAGGCAGTTGATTTCCTTATATGCGTTGGCACAAAATCCAAACATGACCCACTTGAAGATACCTGAACTGGTTGTGCTTCCTCCCATCTGGATAAGGTGTGATGGTTCTGATCCTGAACATACTTACTGGCTCGGAGCTGAGCCTCTCAAAGCTGGGAACAAAATCACAGGGATCAATTTGTATATGGTCACATGTGATGGTAAGGTTATAAGGTTCCTCCTAAAATCGAATGAGAAAGGCTTAAAAATGTGGGAATGTTTTGGTTGTCAAATGTTGGGGGTTTTTGTGATTCTTAGTTTTTTTTTTCCTAGGTCCTACAGCTGATAAAACCAGTTTTGCAAATCTGGAAGAGCTCAAAATGACACACAAAATGATGCATCATTCATCCGTTGTAGGTTTTTGCAATCTGTCATGCCTCTAGTCTAAGTTTTAAAACCTCTGGTTTTGGATTTGTAATACTAGATTTGGGAAGCTTTATAGATTTGTATATGGTCACATGTGATGGTAAGGTTATAAGGTTCCTCCTAAAATCGAATGAGAATGTATATGGTCACATGTGATGGTAAGGTTATGAGGTTCCTCCTAAAATCGAATGAGGCTTAAAAATGTGGGAATGTTTTGGTTGTCAAATGTTGGGGTTTTTTGTGATTCTTAGTTTTTTTTTTTCCTAGGTCCTACAGCTGATAAAACCAGTTTTGCAAATCTGGAAGAGCTCAAAATGACACACAAAATGATGCATCATTCATCCGTTGTAGGTTTTTGCAATCTGTCATGCCTCTAGTCTAAGTTTTAAAACCTCTGGTTTTGGATTTGTAATACTAGATTTGGGAAGCTTTATAGATTCTGTTTAGCAACTTAGTTTCTCTATACTACAATAATCACTTTTAAAGTAACATTTGGGCACTCCATATTGTAATGCGTGTGTCTAATGTTAGCCCTTTTTTGTGTGTGTGAGGTTCTTTTACAGTTATATTGCACGTGTACAAAACAATCAGTGGTGTTTTTTAATTTTATTTTTTTAATGTTTTCATTCAAGGTGGTGACAAAAGGATCTGCTCAGTATAAACTTAGTAGAGCTGCTGCGATGGAGGACACGATTGTAGAACCCAAAAGCACTGTGTATGTTGATATGACATGGAACACTGTAAATAAGAGTCTGGAGACACCCCCACTAACTTCAGCTGCCACTCTGGTAAGTCAAGAAAGAAAAAGCAAACAAACCCAAACTGTCTTCATGGTTTACATCGTGAGTGGTGAGCACTGACCTTTTGATCCCTCAGCTTTTATACTGGGGGCAGGTGGGATGCAATACCCCTGTTGGTCAGGTTTGGGTCACCTCTTCTGTCCCCTCCTCCCCACAGGTGGGACCCCTCTACGCTTTTTCCATTTCCAGTGGGGCAAATCACGAAATTGACTGACCTTGGTTGTTATTGCAATAAGTACAAGCACCCCTTGTACTTTTTTTTCTGCACACCCTTCCTTGGCACGAAGGGTCTTATCACTCTGAGCAGTTCCCCCACAACATGTTGTTGATATCAGAGAGTTAGAAGAGGTAAAGATGTACAATTACTGAACAGAAAGTTGGTTCTGTTTTACCTCAAACTGAGACAATAATCTAAATTATAAATTATGCTACTATGCATTTCACTAATGAACGTTTTATGACACTTTATTTCTAAAGTTTGAAACTGACATGAACTTCTGGAACTTTCAGAATATTACACTGGAGTCAGGGGACCCTGGAAGTCCTGTGTATCAGCTCTACAGAGAACTGCAGTTTCTCCTTGTAAGTATAAGTGAGAAATTCCAATTTCAGATTTACATGGAATGGTGATTTTATGTGTTTATAACTTACTTTATTTAAAACTTCATCAGATGTTTCAAAAATAACTTCAAGCTTTTATTTTAGAATAAAGTTTGAGTTCAGTTTTAGGAATCTCCAGCCACAAAGAGGATAACTCATGAACACCAAAGCCTGGAAATTCAAGAAGTTTCTAAAGTCATGGTTAGCTGCACAGATTCTTGGAAAAGTTAATTGCATTGTGAAGTATGACACACAACAGAACCTCAAACAAGAACTGATTTGTGTTGTTTTGATTTTCGTGCCACCTTTAGGCTTTGGCGGAAGGTTTGAAGATGGGTGTGATGGAGTGGCCTGAGCCCTTAGAGTCCAAATCAGCTGTTGAACTGGTCCAGGAACTTCTGACTGGTAATTGCTGTTTGTTACGTGGGGAAAGAGGGACGTCACATTTCACAGAAATAAAAAGAAATTGCACATAGAATTTTTTAAAGTGTTAGAATTAGACACGTTAATTTCTACACTAAAAACGTCTGCACAATTGTTTTTAAAAGTATTTGAGAGCTGAATGTGTCAAGTTACCTGATACGTACGTGAGCTTTTAATGTGCTAGGTAGCCCTTTGGTGAGAAAAAATACTTCCATGTCATCTTAAAGTGAAGCATTCAAAATTACTGATTACTTCTGAAAACTGTTGTGTCCGATACGTGTCTTGTCAGAAGTTTAAGACACTAGAAAACAGATCTAAAGAGAGAATCAGATGGCAGAATGCACCAAGAGATTTCCAAATGCAACTGTGATTTTTTTTATTTTTTTTTTTTAGTATGTAGGTAAAACTTGGACAAAAGATAAGAGACAAAAACTCTTTCTGATAAATACATGTGGAAGAAAACCAGAGACACTTATTAGACCTCCTCCTCCCCCTTACTGCTTCCACACTGCAACTTCACAAGTTAATATTTAGATAACAGAATGTAGTAAAGGTATATGGCAAAAATCTGTAGCTTATAATAAAAAAAAATTAAGACGTCATCTTTTCAGACTATATCTTTACCCCACTCAATTTTAAAATGGATAAATTTTGTCTGTAAGCCATCCTGTTGGTGTATTTGTTAATTATGAGGTGCCCATGGATTTATATGATTGGTTTGATGATTATTTTTTTTTTTCACAGTGGTAAAATTTATTTTTTTTGTCCACTAGACTTAAAGAACAAGCTGGATAGATTTTGTACATCTGAAAACAAGAACGAAACAGAGGTATATGCAATTTCTTACCAGTTGCCTTATTTTCTTCCCCTTATAACTCTAGTTATTTCAAATTTTGACTGCATCTTTTATTGTATTTATGTACATATGTAAATACATAGGCATAAAGATGTAAAGATCGATCTCTTTCTTTCAGTTTCTGCTGTGTAAAAAATAATGGACGAAGGCGTTAAGGGCAAAATTAAGAACTCCATAGCTGTCCTCTAATATATTGAAGTCCACTGTTATTTTTACCTTCAGAAAACCTCTTTTTCTTATTCTAAATTATACTTATTTTTTTTATAAATTAGTGGTGTGGAGCTATTTTGATTTGCTTCATTGCCTTCCTTTTTCAGTAGAAAAAGCTTGCAAACTGAACTGTATTATATCAACTGCAATTGCAGTCCCTTGTCTTAACCATTGTCTGTCATCTCCTAAAGCTCTCAGTCTCATGATCTCTGAACTCTGACCTTTGCACCATTACATTCTATCATTAATTTGCTTTTCTTGCCTAATTTTATGACTTTGGGCCAATTTAATAGTATCAATTGGATATCTATCCTTTTTATCTAGAGGTTTATGATGTTCTAAAGCAATGAACCAATTAAAATTATAAAAATGTCTTGAGTTATATTAAGGTATTTTTTTTTCCCTTGCAGCCTGTAAGGAAAGATTTGGGTCTTTTTGCTATTGAGAGGGAAGTTGCATTTTGTTGATAAGCTAAAAATAGAATGATTTCTGTATCAGCTAAACCAGAGATATTCAGGATAACAGGAAAAATAGTTCTCTGTTCTGAGAATCTATGTAGGTACTAATTTTGGCCTCCCAGGGCACTGCTGGATATACATGCAGTGTTTTAATCATCTCTGGGCTCAGTATAGTGTAGGTCATATTCTAAATTAGTGCTTGCTGTTTTGCTAAATTAGTGGTTTTGCTGTTTACCATTGCTTTGTGCATTTTAAGGCAAAAAGGACCATCTTGAGAGAAGCAGCTGGTTTTTACTGGACTGTTTGGTTGAGCTTTACTTGGCTATGATCAAAAGTCTTTCTGATAGTAGGCTTCACTACTGGCAATTATCCAGTGAGATGATTCTGAAAAGAGTTAGTCTCACTTTTAAATAAAAATATGCTTCCAAATTACTTTGCACTGGGAGCTTCTATGCGGTAGTTTCCCTGGAAAAAGGGAAGAATTAGTGATGTACCCAATTTTGATCTTGGGAGAAAATTCGGATTCGTAAGGTCTTTGAATCTTGGGCATCTTTTTTTATTTAAGACAAACAAACTCTTTCAGAAAATTGAATGTGACACTGCTGCAGTGGATGGTTCAATAAAATCAGTCTTCAGTGAGCGAGGAGACCTGGATTTTGCTGAACAGTTATGGTGCAAAATGAGAAGTGAGTCTATTGTGGGGTTTTGCCCCGTTTTCCTTTAATTCTTCTCTTCTCTGCATCTACTCTACTGTAGTGCTTTCTCAGTGAAATGAACCTAAATTTCTCTGAGTTCGAAGGACTGACCAGCTCTTCAGATAATTGTTACCAACAGGAGATGATTTTATTTGCTTGTAAAAGGTACTAACCAATCGGTAGTACTCATCTGCTCTAAAACCAAAAGCCACTTGCCTATAAAATATCTG